AATGATGCAATTTCTGGTAAAACAACACTATCCGTTGATTAAATACAGATTTAAGGCATTACACCAATATTCGCTGAATAACGGGATGTTGTATTATAGCACCGATTCAACGGTTTCGCCACGAAGTGTGGTTCTTCACGATGAGGATTTGAAATACCTTACACCCTACTTAGCGGTCATCTCGCTCGTGAGAAGACATACAGCTCGATGAGTTGCCACTATTGGTGGCCCAAACTTTACAAATAGACGAGTCAGAGGGTAAAACCCTCTCCGAGAGCGGCGGCGCCGCTGGCCAGTTTACCTTTACACTCCGGGTGTTGGTAGTTCACTAATATGGTCTTTGTGTTTTGCCTGCCGAAAGACTCGGCGAACAACACGGATGTGGTGAGCGCTGCTACAGGCTATTCGGACAAGGAATTGTCGGTGCGTTTGCGCGCACAGCTATGACCCTTCGCTGCTGTGGTCGTAGACTCACCCGTGTGAGAAACCACAAAGCTCGCAGGAGCGTTATGGATTGTTCCATATGTTGCAGGGCGACAGTACGCAGGAAGACAGCGTTGCGCCTTAAGTTTGTCAGACTCGAATCGAAGAAGGCGTTCTAAGAGCACGTCCACTCCCTTGTAGCTCCGCCGTAAGTGAGACAGCGAGGAAACTTTCCGATGCCGCTGCACCCATCGCTCAAAGATCCCCTCATCATCTGCAGTGGTCTCGCAAGGGCGATCAGTCCGCATTGCGGGTACAGGAGCGCCTCCTTTTTGAGCTCGAAGTCAAACTATGCATTGGGATTTCTTGTGATACGAACTCGAAGAGCCTACCGCTTATCAAGCTCAGCTTGTGTAGCAGCCGGGGGCCCCGTTACGTAGACGTTCAACGATCTTGTGATCGCGTCTTTTCACTTCAGTAGCGGGATCCACCGAGCGAAAGCCGTACTCTTAACGAGTATGTAAGACCAAAGGTGGATACGAGAGCATGAGGGCCGCCCTGTGGGCAGCCTCCAATTGCTGCTCCTGTGCCTCGTCGAGACGATTGATAATAATACCACTCCCCCCGGAAGCCGAGAGATCGGAGAACGGACACAATGTCCGCAAGGTTTGACCAGGCTCACGTCGCGCTGTTAGCGCACCTCATCCTCCTCGTCTTCCCATGTTAGGTAAGGAGTATCTGGCTCGTAGTTGACTTTCTCTAACCCCTCGAAGAAGAACTCCGTCGCCCGGGGCGGACGCGGTGTGTTGCGCTTGGTTGCCGAGGGGCTTGGGATGTGCTTCTCGTGAAGCCGCGGACGTACTGTCCGGAGATGCACCCCTGAGAAGAAGAAGAAGGACTTTACCCGCGGGCGCCCTCGGAGCCAATAGGCTGGGTGTTCTGCGTGTCGAAGACACAGGGCTCAAAGAGCGGAAAATGTTCTAACCTGTTCTTAAGAACGTGAAAGTGTCTCAGACACGCGAGCCTCGTATTAGGCGACCATTAAATGTAAATCAAGGATATTCACAATTTTAATGGGGGAGATTGTACCGGGGTTACACTTACACTTACCCTTGTATGAAAGGGCGGGACGCACAAGATGGTGTGACCGTACATAGGTGTGGATTACTCGAGTTGATGTAATCACACAGTGGTGTGGCTACGCCGTAACAAGAAGCTCCCACGTGGCAGGATTACCAGTAGTAATACATATTACTATATTACTTAGGAAAACCTAGAGGTTTAGATATTGCGGCTCTGCCGCAACTAAAACAATTGAATACATTTTCAATTTTAAACGGAGAAGTACCTACCGTATTTTAGGTTTTAAGTACTCTTGGAGGCAGCGGATTGCGATCCGCTGCACTCGTACTGATTCTTGTAAAGACCGTGAGGTCGGTGACCTTAGTTTCATTTTCTCTAAGCAAAGATCTACGGCAGGCCCGCTGCACCGAAAATAGATGGCCGAACTACATATGCTCGTTAGTCACACATAATCTAGTCTTGCACTACTCGGTCGTCGGAATGGCTACAAGTGCTGCCGAGTGCAACTGGGTTGCCGTGTACTTTGCATAGAGAAAGTGTTGATTCAAAGATTACAAACGCACACAGGTTAAGTTCAAACGCTCCACACTGTGCAATGTGAATTCCGTACAATTGTGATTTATATGAGGATTTTAGTTTGCAATGAGGGCTTGTGACATCTGCCACTCAAAAATAAGAGTTAATCTTACCAAATAGAAATTACTAGGACTGGGGGTCTAGCGTAAAGTTGATCTGCGCCCTCTACGACTGCGTATAAGGCTCTATTCGTAGTATGTGGCGGACATGTAACTTCTTGGAGTAGATAAAATTCCAGCGTTCGCGGCAGTCGTGGACATAGATATGTGGACATCGTTCTAAAAAGTGGCATTCCAGCGCTATATATTAACTGTTATGATTGACGATTATTTCTCACTCTTGAGATGTGCTGAATGATTTTATTATTCGCATTCTGTTCAAGGAATGCATATTAAAGTAAAAACAAAAATTGGATTTTGAGTGTGCGAGATTTGAATAAATTTGCAAATAAATTACTTTACGAGCTGGACGACCGTGGACCTTTGAGCGCATATGTGTGTGCTGAAGGTCACCAATGGTATGTGCCGGTACTAAAAGAAAGCAGATTACGACTTTCAGTGGTGGGGAATAACGCGAAATACATTTTGGTATCGGAGCGATTGACTCAGTTGCTTTCAGAGGAGTTCTTGGAAATATGTACAAATTAAATATATATTCGATCATAATATTGTGCTGTTCAGCTAGCACAACTATTGAGCTACCTACCCATTATTCATATAAAAAACCTGCACATTTTTAAAAAGCCATTTTTTCTTCAACCAAAAAATATTTTCGTCAAGACGAAAACTGATAAAGAAGCATCTAATTACTAAACTAAATCACAGTTTTTTTCCCTGAGATTGCTATGAAGAATCGCGACGTAATGTAGGGTCTTTGTGTTCGTCATAGTTGCGTTCAAGGTAGTCAACATGCACGAAAGCTCGCTCTACATTGTCCAGTCCCTCAACTTTAATCTGCAAGCTCAGACTGATGTCGTGAGCTTCCTTGACGCACATATCCTCTGGCAAAATCACTTCCATCTCCACCAAATAGTTGTTGCCGAAGTGGTACGCTCTCACAATGTCTGTCTTCATCAAGGGGTGATGCACATCGCCCAGCGTACGAATATGATCAATAAACTCTTGCTCCGCTTCTACAAATGATAATTGTGGTTAAGAAGAATACATTTCCAGAACAAAATTATCCACGAAAGATACGCACGGAGACCAACAAGGCGCTCCACTTGTTCTTTTCCTGTAGCCAACCAACTGACAGCAATGTAGACCGAGATCACGATAGCCCCAATGGAATCGAGACACCAGAGGCTTGGATGTTTGTGCGCGACAAAAGCAGCAGAGACTGCCACCAAATTGCTGTAGACGTCGTTGCGGTGATCCTATCGTAAGCAAATGCACGATAAGAAGATTTGAGATAAGTGCCAATCAAGAAAAGTCACCTGAGCCAGCGCATCAGCTGAAGGCGAGTGTGACGCAATTTTGGCGCAAATATACCAGAGGAAAAGCTTGACGACAATTGCAACCAGTAGTACAATCAATGTAAAAGAAGAAATGTCTATCTCCCGTAGGTGACCGTTGAAGCCTTTCACGAGCGCTTTCACAGATTGCTGGATCACTTCAATAGCTATTAGAGCAAGCATGTCAAAGAGCTTAGTGACTCAAAACGTCTTTACAAATGCCATCTTCAGCAATAACTGTGTCATCCAACCTGCCATGCCCATGAGGGTGGCTGATATGATGACGGCAATGGGCTCGAGTCGCCGTCTCCCAGCCGGATACTTAACGCTTGGCGTGTGCATTCGCTTATCTGAGTACCAAAAAAGAGCTTGCGACGTTAAGTCCAAGATTGAGTCCACGAGTGACGACAGCACGGCTAATGAGCCACTTGTGAGGGCAGCGTATATTTTAACGATAGTGAGGACCTTAAAATCTCAAGACAGATTAGACCGTTCCGACTCAAATGGACATTTATAAAAAACGCACCACATTGGCCGCAAGCGAGGCATTGATGGCAACTTGCACGCGTAAGGCAGCACTTGACGGCGAGGATAAATGCTGTACCTCTGCGTCTTCCTCCTTTTTGAGCAGAAATGCATGGGATACTTGTGAGCGGCAGTAGCGCCCGCTGACTTTTGAATTCTTAGGAGTTGAATTTATAGTATGCGTTCCATAGCTATTAGTTGACGCCATGAGCAACGACGACTCGGCCATTGCCACCGTAGGATGATTAACAAAACACAATACATACTTTAGCAGCCAAATGACAAAAAGCGTGGTGATCGTATTTTGATGTGCCTACGCACAATTTCCACCGGTAAATTAACTTACCATAAACTGTGATAGTCCAAATCTTGACAGGGCGTTGCACAAAAACAGTGCAAAAGGTGTCTTGACGAACACTTATTCGTGTCGTTGTCCTGCTAAAAATACTTGGTCTTCACGAAGTTGCGGCGTTGGCTCTTGCAAATCATGAGAACACCTTACTTGAGGTTTGCAGTGCGAATGACTATTTCATCGATTGTGTACGATGGTGAGGCTCATAGTTCAGGCGAATGCTATCAGACATAATAGCTCTGAAAAGAAGAACGGAACTACAACTTCACGACCAAAACGCTTCTGACGACAAAGAACTCATTGATCGAGTTCTTGGGCCATTTTGTTAAATAAATGATCTCGCATCTGCGCGTGTGGTGATTAAGATTCTTCACCTGTCGTAAAGAATGGCGAGGGGCACAAAGCGCAACTATGTTGTACAGTATAACCCTGGCTAGACAAAACTGTTAGCCAACGCGTAGTTGCTTAGCTGCCTTACGTCCGAATTGAAAACACAAATAAGCAGAATCTTACCTTTTCTGCATTATCTTCTCATGAAACTTAAATGTCTATAGTATATTAATTTCTTAATACTCATCGTAATAATATACCATACTACCACGCGTATTGCACATAAGGTGAGATCACCACGCTTATTGTCATTTGCCCTGCTTTGGAAACCAATCAAACCATGTTTGTACTCACACGAATCTCGGACGTGATTCCCGTGGAGCCCGAGCTATTTGATGCAGACTACACGCAAGTCCTCATCGAGGAAATCGATCGCAAGTATGCGAACAAGGTCATTGCGGACGTGGGACTTTGTATTACGCTTTATGATTTTGTGAGCATTGGTGACGCGCACGTGCACCCGTCGGACGGCACATCACACTCCCAAGTGGAATTTCGCTTGGTAGTGTTTCGGCCATTCGTGGGTGAAGTTTTGAAAGGCCGCATCGTAAGCTGTACAGAGGAACACATTCGAGTGTCTATGGATTTCGTACAGGACATTATCATACCTTCTTATGCGCTGCAGACGCCATCCTACTTGTACGCAATAATCGTTTGGAAACTACACAGCTATTTTCCCTCTATGATGTGATGTACTTACTTTATGTCTGCACTGCACTAGTGATACGGCGGAGCGGCTATGGGTCTGGAAGTATTCGGATGGCCAAGGTGTGGCTTCTAAGGATATCGGACTGTGCTCTTCTTAATTAAGGATCTAACAGAATTTCTAATCTTATGATGAATAGAGAAATTTTTTATGGACTTGCACGAGGAGATACGCTTCCGGGTGACAAACATTAATTTTACGCGCGTGACTAAAACAGCTAAAGGTTTGAATGTTGTAATTATATTTAATAATACTGCTTTTAACTTCTACTTCTACTTGGGAGATAGGAATACAGGCCACGACAACAGAGGCGACGGACAAGTCGGAAAAGGAAATTGGCGCTGGCGATATGCGACGATCTCTGGCCCGCCAACGGTCTTCGAGTGTGGATCTATCTGATAATGACCCCACACCTTCTGCAATTCACATTCTTGTGAGTCCTTGCGACGTATGAAGCCTTGAGATTGTCTTCTAATTTCTTTGCTTTTTCATGTGGTAGGGAACCATTGATGAGGATGGTTTGGGGTTGTCATCGTGGTGGACGAGTTAGTTTATAGAAAATGAGCAAAAGTGTAGCTCTCATTGCTTATTAAAATACCATTTGACCATAAGTATTTCTGGGGACCGTTACACACGCAGGTAAATCATAACTTTTTTGATTTTGTAAATCCATGTCCTCGGAAGCAGATACTACTGTATTCGAGACTCAAGTTGATGGGCAGAGTGTGGAAAATTCAGATAACAACGCAGCTTATTCTGCCTTTACATTCGTGGGTGAGGAGTCTCAGCAGGAAGTGAAGCAAACTAAGAACGGGCAAGTTTGGAATCAAACATTTTTCGAGAAAACGGCCGCGAGAAGCGAAGAGGAGCGTATAATGCTTGAGATCCAGCAGCTGAGAGACATTGATTCTACCGTAGGTACCATAACTAATCAGAGTCAATACTCATCGGAAATAGTCAGCCAGATAGAGCTGAACGTTGTTTCCCGTCGCAATTGCCATATGGGGGCGCTAATGGAGTACGGTCAAGATGTCGAGGCAATTAGTGAAGATGTAGAGAGTGCGATCATTCGAGCAGCTGATGACGTGAAAGTAACTGTATCTACTATAGACTCAAGAATTTACGATTTTGAAGCTGCGCTTTCAAAAGATACAATTTTACTGGCATCAGACAAAGCTCATATACTATCCATGTGGAATGAGTTGGATGCTATTTGTCAGCAGAGAACGGATGCGATTGCTCAATTTGCTGCTCGATTGGATGGGATCGAGCGAAGTCGGATGCATTGTGTGCGTGATAGATTGAAGCGATTGACTTGTGCTTTAATGGATGCAGCATATGTGTTGCCTTATGAAGTGGAACGAATCATTGAAAGTGAGGCATACGAGGTGAATACCGTAGTGATCTCCAATGGTGTAGTCTATGCTGATCTTGTGGCCAAGATGGATACCAAAAATGTCGATATATTCTTAAAGATTAGACTGGCGTGGGAGCAGGCTCAGATCCGTTGGCGTCACTTGCGGCATCGTGATGCAATCACCAAATTTCATTCTACTCTTAGCTCTCCTTTATTTACAGATCCTGATGAGAGACAGCACGTACAGAAGCAAATTCGTGATTTTCAGGAGAAATTCTACACCGAGCAGCGTCTTGATGTTATTACGCATTTGAGTGATGCTGGCGTCACTTTGAGCTCCGTTGACGTGAAGCAGATCCTAGAAAAGCTGAGATGTATGCGGCGGTATGAAGAAGAATCAAACCGTTCTTTCGAACTCGCCTTACAAGATGTAGGTAAATTAAAAAGTGCTGCTGCAAATGTGCTGCGAGAAAGTCTTCGCTTCGAATTGCATGACTGTGGCGCTTTGGCAAAGGAAGGAAATATCGAAGATGCCAAAACGGCTTTGGTTACACTGCTTCATGACGATGAAGCGGAAGAGCTTTTCAGTGCCGCTAGTGGGTTAAAAACAGATTTGGACCATTTAGCAAAGCAATTATGTGTCGCAAATGTTATTTACTGTGATAATTTGGCCCCTCTCTTAAGCTTTGTAGAAGTTCTCGTTAGTGCTGTTCCACTAAAAAAAATGATGGAAAAACAAGGTAAGGATTTTGAACGAATGGCTGTGCAGTTGACATTGAAGAAAATTCGTAAAGGCACGAAAAGAGATATGATGGCGCTTTTGCCGAGTCTGCATGCACAAGTGTTGATGCTATTGAATCTTGAAGAAATGGGGGACTGTTTTAAAGCAGAGCTTAGGGATATCGCAGCTCAGCTAAAAGCTACCCTTTTGGCGCATGATTCTCTTCACGGTGTTGAGGTAGCGGCTTCAACATCGATGACTACTATGGAAACGTCAGCATTGCCTTTGAATGGCAAGACAAGTGACGCCGTTGAAGAAAAGCTTGATTTGCCGGCGATTCGAAAGGTTCAACGGCGCCTTGAAAACTTATTATATACATCTGAACTGGGGGCATCCTGGCAGCAGCTTCTAAGTTTCATCTTTGAACAGCTTTTGCTTCAGAACGCTGCTAATCGAGTTGTAGATGACGTAGTTACTCGTGAATGCGACGAAGTGATAGAAACACGGCAACAGGAAGGTATGCTCTTTGTCAAAGAAATTGAGAAACGGATCGAGATGCAAAGCACACAGCTCCACAACCGTGTCGAAAACGTTGTCAACTTTTTTCTTCGAGTTGTGCTTTGCCTTGAGGAAATCATTGACAGGGATAAACACGTAAACACGAGCGCGATGAGCCTTCTCGACACACTAAAAAAAAACAATGAAAATGCTCTTCAAGATCTCGAGACTAAATTGATGCAGAGTTGTACGCGTCTGCGACACTCACCAAATATTGACATCCTTCGTGACGAGTTTCAGCACTCGTCGGATCTCCTGGATCATATAGAAGAAAACTATCGAACGTATGCCGAGCAAGTTTCCTTGGCTGCAAATAATAATGTCACTGTGATAACCAAGCAGCGTCTGCTTTATCGGCAGCGACTTTGCGAATTTTTCGGTATGAAACAGGAAATGCAACCCATCAGTGACAACCTGCTTGATTTAGACAAATTGCTTAGCATGCAGTATAATGGCGATCAGATTTTGGAAACCTCTCATCAAGAGAAGAAAGAGTATGACGCTGTTGCTAGTGAAACACTTTTGAAGTCTTCATCCACATTCTTTACTGAAGAGGAGACGCTTCAATGTGCTTTGGATTCGAATGTCGCATTGTCACTTTCAGACCTTGCTCAGAGCATCTTATCACACGGTCAGACTATTCATATAGAAGAGCAATTACAGGATAAGGAAGCCAAGCCATTGTGCGAAGTAGATGATAAAGTTACTTTTCATGCTGATGAAGAGACGATAGATGTATCTGCAACATCAACGTCCCAATTGCTATCTGAAAGCGTTTCGAGTAAAGTTCAAGAGGATTTTTTGGTCCTAAATATTCCCAACGCTAGAGTTGAAAGCTTACTTGCCATATTTCGAGACGCAGTATTATATAAGTATGACTTGGAAACAGCGAACGTGTCAAACCAATCCAAAACAACGTGCGCTGAACGCCATGCAAGCTCTGCTATTCTTCTCAAGGAAAGAATACGTAATCACTGTCCACGCAAAGAAAAGCTGGATTTGGAAATTCACCAAACTCGAATGGGTGAGCTTTCGATCCACCAGAAACGACAAGAGCGATATTTGCGTGGACTTTGTTTGATGGAGGAGAAACAGCAACTAAAATTTGCGAAAAAATTAGAAGAGTCTTATGCTTACGTGGAACAAGTACGTATGGTGTGCATAAGTTTTTATGCCCAGCTTCCTCTTCAGCTAAGCGTAGCAACACTTCAGTGCTTCGAAGCTCAAGCTAAAAAGCACCTTGGTGTTCTCAGAAGTGAATCTACAAAGACCTTCAAGATGCTTGAAGCGATGACAGCCATTGGTAACAATAGATTGCTGTCATCTTGTCAAGATTATATTCGCACTTGTTCATTGCAGCTTTTCTCTGATTTGACGAGCTTTCAGGTCGTCAGCAAATGCGATTACCACCCGAACGAAATCATTTCAATTAAAGAGAAATTTGTAACGCTTGAAGCGCGGGCTCGTGACCAGATGCTAGAGCGAGAGAAGCAAATTGAAGAAGTAAAAAACAAACAAGACCAAGTGTTTAAAATGTATGAAGGTTTTAAAGAAAGAGCTCAAAGTTGTAAGCAAAGTTTGGTAATGAAGGAAGGGCTCAATCAGACGTTACGTCTCCCTAGACGAATTGCACTAGAGAGCATCCGAGAGGAAATGTCGCGATGTAAAATACGCTCAACTTTAGTCTCTGAGCTGCTTCGTTCGGTTCAATCTGTTGTCGCCGGAGAGCACAGTGGTGACCATTCACACGGACAGAAGGTGACGGGTGATGCCATACGCATTCTCCTTCAGCTTCGTGCGAAAATTTACTATCTTGGAATGTACCTTGGAATCTTAAGATGTCCAAATCAGCTGGAACCCAAGCCTGTCGTACTCCGTCTAGGCATAGGGCGAAAGATAGAAGACAAATACGATGTCATTCGCGACGATGTGGTAGTGGATAATGAGGATCGAATGCTGGCGGTTCCATTTCTGGATTTCGTCGATCAAGTCAATAACAAATGCCAACAAGAGACAAAAACGCTTCTCGAGCATGACGTCAAAAACGATGAGACTTCAAAATCCAATGTATTTGCAGCTCTCGAAGAATTTTTATCCACTCAACTGGAAAAAGCACGCGATTTTCTGAGGCTTCAAAGAACTTCGTATCGAGAGCAAGTTCAATTGTATGCTCATCTGTTGACGCTCGTTCCGGAAGTTGTCGTAATAAATATGGCAAAGCAGGCAAAAGAGAGTTTACACCAACAAAGTTTCGAACAAATGAGTACGCTCCAATCTCAATTGAAATTGTGGTCAGATCAAAAAACTAGCCACATGTTAGAGTTGGGACCGCATCTTTGCAATGCTAACAACCTTCACCTACTGCACGATTTAGAAGTGCGAGAGAGAAGTCGTTCCACATTGACCCAAGTTGCTTTGCGAAAAGCTCGAGCAGAGTATTTGGCAAAGCAGATACAGATGTCGTTGGAGTTTGAAGCTCAATTTATTGAACTCTGTCAATGTTTTGTATCGCTACTAGATTCATCAGTGTTGTCGCTTGATGATCTAAAGCCTTTTTCTAGCGAGGAAAACTCGGCGCACAAGCGCAAATCGCTGAAGCGACTACGTAAATTGGCGCGAGGTAATGAGCTGAGCGACCCGCAAAAAGCTGCATATAGAAGTGCAAAAGTGCCGCATCAAATGTCTCAACATGACGAAGTTCCTCGCTTTCCGCTGCGGTCATGGCCTAGTATTCCTACTGTTGGACTACATCTGCATTGGGCGGAAGTTAAAGCGAAGCTTTTGGCCGACAATCCAACAGATCGGCCTGACCTCGCCATTTGTGATTTGTCCATTGTGCCATTGACATCCGATGACGGTACATGCGTCTCTCTTCTTACCCCGGCACATCGAGCACTCATCAAAGCTCGAGATCGCGCCTATGTCGATTATGGACACTTTTGTCGTGAGGAAACTAGCCGTATTCTCGACAACATCAAAGAATGGGATCAAGATGAAGACAACTGGGCGCAAAATTGGGAGAAAAAGATTAGAAACATCAAGAACAACAATTGACATACTAAGTTCGATATAGATTTGATTTTTTTGAGCTGTACACAATGATGTACCAAAGTACTGGTGCTGATGAAATTGCGTTTATCACTGGATCCAGATTATTTTTAATCAAGACCTGGTCCTCAATATATGTTATTCCTGAAATCGGAACGTCTAATTCCAACAGGAAGCTCGCGTAGAGCACATAATGTGTTCGCATTGTCTCTGGAATGTTAAGCTTAGCTACGATTCGAAGCAGTCCAATAAAGCGCGGTTGCAACTTAGTCTCAGACTACAGACATCAGCCAATACGCAGCCCGCCTTTGCAACCACATCATCACATTTTATCTTATGAGATGGATGATCTCAATGAAGTGTAGACATGTCTATGAGCCAATGAAAGTTTTGTATTTTCAATTCAATTTGTGGTATGTTCTTAATATGGATATATGTGATTAAAGGTTGCTATATGAAGGCCTCTCGATATACGGAATATTCCTTATACAGTAAGTAGAACCTGTCTAAATTGAACCTGTTTAATTGAAAACCCTCTCTAAATTGAACAAAAGATATGACCCATGTTGGGCACCATACTTGAATTAAAATACCTTTAAAATTTAAAAGTTTGAATTTGATGGCTCAGTCCCGACAATTTTCCTAACTAAATCTAGCGTAGAAACAAAAAGTCTGACGTATTGTGACTTAGAAAGAGAGTACTAAATACGAGTAAAGAATTGAACGATGGACCTCTGCTTCAGCTGACGTGTCTTGATCGGACCAACCTTGTCCTTCATATTGCGGATGGCAGTGATAAAGCCCAGACTTTGTTCATCCTGCTGCAGCCAAAAAAAATCCAGTGAGTCGAGCATCTTGACAGCCTCAT